TGAATTCTACTTGTAAACTTCTGTCACATGATATTCTGTTAAATTTTCTTCATCTTTTATTGATAATGATGCAGCTTTTTCTAAATTTTCTTCATAGAAGGGGTCTGAAATCCAACTATCATTTGTGTTTTCGTGTTTTGGAAAATCCTTCATGAAAGACAATGTTAATTCTGTTAAAATGTGGTATTGTATTTTCTCATAGATTTTGGGACATAGTAACCTTATTTTCAAACAAAAAAAATATTTAGAGTTTCGAATACGTCTGATTGATGGTTTTCGAAACACTGTTTCCAAAAATCTAATTTCTTAATCATACTTTCAATTTTATTATTAATATTAAAGATCATTATTGAGCTGTTCTGAAGTGTCAAATTTAAGTTATTTATTTGCAAAAAGATATCGGATAAATATGCAAGTGCCTGAAGCTAATTAAAATCATACAATTTTGAAGAAAGTTCAAAAGGATTGTTTTGAAAAACAAAAATGAAAATACTTTTTAATACTTTTGTACTTTTAAACGTTAAAAAAAGTCATAATCTTTGTTTTTGTAATCCATATGTTTTGTATGTAGATGTTACGAAAGAAACAAAGACTTCATGCATCCACAGAGTTGCCAACTCTCCCGATTTCCGACCGTTCTCCTTCCAACCCGATTTACAACATATTTCTCCCTACTTTCTCTTATTTTAAAAATTTCTCATGATTTTTATGTAGCTTGGCTTAATACTTTATTATTTGCACCCAAAAAAAAGTCATTTGGGGTGCCTGAAAGCACCTGGTTTTTCTCTAGACTGCATAGAAAACCGAAGTAGTTTCATCAGTGAGAAATTATGGCATGCTTCCAGATTAAATTAGATTATCACTTGCCAACTGGGCTGAGCTACTTTCGAGCTATTGCCAGTAAATTTTAGGTGAGCCTTAAGGCTTTTACAGTTGTTGAGTAAATGTGTGAAAACACCCGTTAGGCGAAAAGTCAAGGTTCAGAGCAAGTTGTGAGCATCAGTAGTTGGACTACTCAAAATAATGAACCATACTATATTATTTACTAATTAAATGCTATTAAGCATGCTTTTAAGATTTTCTGAGTAGAGATTTTAAACCAAACAGATTGCTTTCTTTTGTGAGTGTGAACACATGTCCGAGAACACATTCAATTTCTCCAATGAGCATCGAGTGCCACTGCGTGTCATCTGGCACATATTAGTCAATGAGCACAAAGAAAGATCAAAATTGTTATTTCGTGCGTCTATCACTAAGCTGTATGAGCGCTTTTGCTTTCGAGAAATAGTTTTAAGAAATTTATTTTGTTTTAGTTATGTCTGCGTAAAAGGTAAAATATTCACGTCCTTTTAAAAAAATTGTACACAGATGACTTTCCTTCTATTATTTTTCCTCAAGAAAATCTAATACATTTGTGAACTGTACCGTTTATCATTGCTATTTTTCGATTTCACACGGTGGAAGGGCTGATCTTCTCAAACATATGCATACACCAAAACAACATGAGTTCTATTGAAAAGAATGAAAACTTAATTTTTTCTGTGGAAAAAAAGGACCAAAAGTTATTAATGCAGAATATACTGTTTGCATTTAAGAATTAGTAACTGAATTTTCAGATATTAATTAGTAACTATTTAAAATTAATTCATTATTTAAAAAAAAATTTTTTTTTTCATTTAAAAGTCTTTTTGTCATCCCCTGATTTCTTAAAAAATTCTCCCAATTTTTTAGTGTTGTATGTTGGCAAGTATGCATGCATCCATGTGAAAGCACAAGCCCACGTACTACTACACATTGGTATTAGGACAGTCTTCATCTCCAATATACGAAAATCCATATTTTATATATTCATCACAATATTTTCTCTTAACGGCTGTTTGAAGAACTGAAGGCTGTGTGATTTAAACGTATTGCACCGAATTTTCAGACCTGTCATTTGTAGAACTCAGCAGTACATCACTGTTCGTGTTTTGCTTGGCATGTACCGGCTTTTAACCACTGATCCATGGCTTATTAAAAAAAATTAATCATTATGGGGATCATTGAATTTTAATAAATAAGACGATACAATCACAAACAAGAGCCTGTCACCTGTAAGCTGCACTGTGAAGAGAATGACAGTGCAGCAACATCTCAAGTTACTGATGACTAATGGCTAAATTTAAACGAGTGCTCTAAAAAAATTATATCAATTGCCGGATTTTGGATCATCGACTGCACATATTAACAACTTTACTTTATAATATAATTAATTAAAATAATTTTTATGGATTATAGGAAGAACGTTTCTATGGAATTTTTTTTTAGTTTTTTACATTTTTTATATCTGCCATTACTGATTATTTTTTGCATACCACCATTGTTGATTATTGCATACCAACAACTCGCATACCACAGGTTGGGAAATGCTGCTGTAGGTGATCAGTACTACTAATAAATTTAAGTATAAGATATAATGATATAAAATTGGCTGTATTAAAGAAAAATTGGAACATTTATTTGCAAAATCAGTATTGTCTACAAATGCCATAGTAAGTAAAAGAGAGATGATGCTTTTGAGAGCCTGCTTGTTTATATAAAAGGATTTGAGAAAAGAGAGATTTTGTAAAAGAGATTGTTATAAAAGGAGATTTGCCACAGGGGCCATTGACTGTGCTAGCTGGCTGGCTATAGAAGCACTCTAGGTTAACCAAACAGTTTCTTAAAAAGCACCCCCCCCTTTTTTTTTTTTTCTCATAGAAGTGAGAGATATTGATATTTAATATTCAGTTGCTTGTTTGCCCATAATAAGGTATTTTTTCAGTGAGGGCTTTCACGTATGAAAGTTTGTGGTAATGATAATGATGACCTAGGATGATTCCCAGGCAGATGGACTGACTGGGAGGGCAGCATTAAGGATTTTCCGGATGGTGGTGGTTTTTTCTTTCTCAGAACTTGCCTCGCAGGTCAAGTTAGAAATTAACTCCTCTTGGAAAAAATCCCTCACATGAGTTGGTATGCTGCTAACCACTCTGACACTGCCTTAACTGAGGCAAGCAATAGACTTGAACAAAGGCTTCACACTGGTCATCTACATGCTCTATGCTTTCTGTCAGGCATTAAAGTCTGTCAGTTATGCCTGAAATGCAACTTGACCCAAGCCACTCCTGCTCATATCTTGTCTTGCACTGGCTCCTAAAAAGAGCCAACTGCCTTTGTGTCCTGGAGTTGTTTTTCGAGATTTTGAAGTCCCCGGATTCAAGGACCTTATCTGGTGTTGCTCTCGATCAGGTGGGATTTATGGAGCTATGAAAAATATTTTATTTTTACGGTAGAGTATAAGATACTTTCGAAGGACAGCAGATCAGCAGAATTGAGTTTTCCATCAAAGTACTAAGTGATGCATAGTTCCAAATCACAAATTCGTATTTGTGCTCGCATTTGAGATTGCCACAGAAAGACAGTAATGAAAAATCTTTTTTAAACTGTCTCTCTCACAGTGTTTTGATATTTTTTCGGCACTTTGTTCTTTGATATTTCTTTTTTGTATATTAATTAAACATGTTTTATCAAATTTCAAAATTGTACGTTTGCTTATAGACCTTTTCCTCTCTCTTTTCTGTTGAAAGTTAGTTTGATACGTCTGAAGGCTGAGTTTTCCATACCATAAGATGTGGGAAACTTAAAGTTCAATAAGTGCATAATAGTTTCCTTAGAAAGTATATTAAATGTCTCAAAACAAGAACAGACCTATATTTTCTGAAGTGATTTTATATATAGTGGTACCTCAGTATCCATCCACATTAAAATATGTCCAACTTAGTATACCTTCTGTGTGGATCCAGAATTTTTTATTTATTTATTTATTTATTTAATTTTTTTTTTCCAGTTAAAAACACGAGTCATGTCATTAATACACTGCATTTACCACAAAATTGAGTCCTGAAAGTTAACTTTCTATGGAAAAAATGTGTTATGGGTAATTCAGATTTTAAAAAATGCATAATTTAAACAAACCTATAAATCTCTGAAATTAAAAGGACAACAAACGAAACAAATGATAAATGAAAGGATTTTTATTACTGCTTAATAGTGCATGTTAAAATATATTTTTTTAAACGCTGAGGATTTTTGCTTTGGGGGGTGACTAACGCAGTTCCTTAAAAGTTTCACAGCAAGGAGCATAGGGGTTTTCAATGCCTCTCATAAAATAAATGTCTTCAGCTATCTTCATTTGGGTCTATTTCCATTGCAAAATCACACAGTTCCTATGCCTCTTTTTAATAATTTATGTAACCTAAAAAAATCAAATTACAAATGGGTAAAAAAAAAAGAAAAAAGAAAAAAAAAGAGTTAAAAAAAATTATAAATTAAAAGCAAAAAAACAAGTGGGTTTTTAAATTAAAGCACTATATTTTATTACTGCTTTCAGTGTCCATTGGTGCTACAAGGTCATTTTGTTCTTGATTCATCATTTCATGATTTTTTTTTTTTTTTTTTTTTTTTTTTTCTACTTCCCTTCTTTCATATATAATAATCTCGCCAACAGTTGCTTTTACAATTTGTCTGGCCGGAGCTGTTGCCAGAAGTGTTGATGAATGAATGTTGAACAGTATACAAGTGAAAGTCTAGCATTGGTCTAATGTAATGTGTATAAGCGAAATTGCATTACACAAAACTGCGTTCAGCAAGTATTTATTGTAAAATAATTGTAGTGTATACTGTACTTGTTCATGTCATTCAAGACAGTGCTACTACTGCCCGTGATTATCGGTATGCCGTCCATGCTGTAATTCTAAATTTTCAAGTAATTTTGCATTTTTTTGCATGAATTGTTTGCAATTTTATTAACAGTGAGTTTTAAGAAAGTTAATGAAAAGAGTCATAATGAGTCAAGCAATGAAAAATGTATTAGGTCACCATGGAAGGGGAGAAAGATTTTTGAAAAATATGAAGATGGCACGTGTATATATTTATTGTCTATTTCATAATTTTTAAATTTGTCAATTTGTTATTTTCAGGTTGATGATCAAATGAAATTGTTACAACAGTCTTGGAGTGACATGTTAATTCTTGACCATCTTCACCAACGGCTTCACAATGGCCTTCCAGAAGAAACTACCATGCCCAATGGTCAGAAATTCAGTTTGATCAATCTTGCACTGTTGGGAGTTTCAAGTATGGCTGATCAGTTACAGCATGTTTCAACTCGTTTACAAGAATTGAAATTTGATCCATTGGACTATATATGTCTCAAATTTTTGTTACTACTCAATCCTGGTGAGTATGGTTTGATTTGTTATAAGCTTTTTTCTGAATATGAGTATTGTGAATATCAATTAAACTGTCACTTTGTCTTCTTTTATTTTATTTCTGTAAATAACTTAAAAGATCTTGGAAAGGGAATCTTGTGTGTAAACATACATACAGAATTCTATGTATGTAGTATATATATATATATATAGTGGTGAGGTAGGTGCTGGAGGTATGCAGGGTCTCACTTGAGCCCAATGTTAATTTTTCTCTAATCTGTGGACACTTTTTTTCCCTCTTTGCTTGTTTATTTATTCCAAGCAAACACATGTTTTGTGTGTCATAATCATACTTCAGTCTTTCTCTTCTCGAGAATTAAGAGTCTCATCTAACTTCATTTTAAGTTCAGTCAAGTGTATTGTAGATAGCCTAAAATATTCGTAGGTGCTGTTTGATGCCATCATATTTTAGATACATTTGTTTTTGGTTATCAAATTATTAATGTCAAGATGATAGAATGAAGTCTGATTATTTAGTTTTCCATTAAAAGCCAGATCTTCTTTTGACTTTGATGACTTTGTTGACATTTAATGATGAGAGTTTAATTTTAAACCTTCTCTGAAAACTGTTGTGAAAAATCGTGCTTTGGCCTCTAGAACCTCCTTGAAAATTAACTGATGGGAATGAAGATAGACATGATGTGCAGTGGCATCTGGCATAAATTTGTTTGCACTATTAAATTTACTTGTTATTTTATGTAATACTTAAAAAATTTTCGAAGATTATTTTGAAATTTTTTCTTGATTCTATATTGTATTTTCTATTTTTCTCAAAGTAAAAATTTATTTAGAATTTGATGTATTTATAAGATAAAGTATGGGCCCTATGTTAAAATTTCATAGCTCACCACTGTATATATGCATTTGTGTGTGTGAAAGACCATTGAAATTGATAGAGGTGTTACATGACTTACCCATTTAAAAAGAGATCTCACATGGGGCAAATTATCATTTCAATTCAGTAAAAAACAGATCATTCAAAATTCTAGATAAGCAAATGAAGAAAGGTTGCTTACCTTTATGATCCGCATTCTTCGATTCTGGTCCGCTGTTTTTGTAGACTCCGATTTGGTTTCAAACTCATCTAAAATTGGCAGTATTTTGTATGAATCACTTTATTTGACATTTCACACAAAAGAGGAACAATTTCTAAATCATTACAACATCAAAAATACTTCTAACTACTTAGCATCATTGTTATTCATATCTAAAGGCGTCATTATTCTATTGCGTCACTGTTCTAAAAGCATACACTCATCGTTGCCAGTTCTCAAAAAACGAACTTTCTTTTTCAATTCTCGTCGGTCTGCAGGCTCAATCCGTTTCCCAAGAGCGGAGCGTGCGTCGTTTGCGACACACTCCCTCACTGAGCGTCGTTGCCCTCACTGAGCCTCTGCTAGCTATTGTTCAAAAAATATAATATAAAATTGTGGTTGCATAGCGTACCCACAATGATGACATGAAATGAAAAAGAATAGGTATCTTAAGATTAATTATCAAGGAATAAAATGTGTGCGAATTTATGGCTATGTCTGTCTTCGAGCGTTATGTTTCAAACTCTGCAGAAAAGCCTTTCCAAGTTGTTACATCACAAAGAACCATCACCAATCCATTGCAGTTTTCTCCAAGTCATCCTATTACACACACACACACACACACACACACATATATACATATATTAAACTTACTACTTATGGGTTCACTCTTTTTAGATACTTCTAAAAAATTAATATTAGAAAATAATATAATCAATATTTCTTTATTAAATAAATTATTATTATCTTACTTTGCAGCTATTGCGCAAGTATTAGAAAAACTTGATTTCAAACAAACTGAATTTAAAATCATACAACATATATATACAGTACAAAGTCCGTAATCTGGGCATCCATTATCCGGAATGATCTATAATCCGGACCTCAAAGCCACAAACTTTTTTTGTATGCTTTGCGCATGCACGTTTAATGTATAATGGATGATATAAGCTAGGTTAAAATTATCTTTACTGATTCTAAGGCATTTTAGTTAATGTTGCAGATTGCGCTGCTCTTAATCTTCTAATTGGATCTGGCTTATTATTTTTTGCAGACTGCTTTGTTAGAGCAAATTTATAAAAATTGACCTTGAACTTTCGTTTATGTCAAAGAGTTGCCAATTCTGGAGCTGCCAAAGGATCTACAAAGCGAAAGCATGTTTCGATGTCCATCAAACAAAAAGTGGAATTGCTGCAAAAAATGGATAAAGGCATATCCGTCTCAAAATTATGCGAGGAGTATGACATTGGAAAGTCAACTGCATATGACATAAGCAAAAAGAAAAAGGAACTTTTTGAATTTTTTGTGGATTTCGACACCCCTTTTGCAATGAATTACAGAAAAGTGTTCGTTATGCTAAAAGTGGCGATCATGACAAAGTGATGATTGAATGGGTCAAACAGCATTGCAGCAAGGGTGTGCCATTGACGGGTCCAATGCTGATGGCTCAAGCCAAAATATTTCATGAAAAAATTAGTGCACATATTCGAGAGGTTGTTTAACCAAATTTAAAAATCGCCATGGTATAAGACAAATAAAAATTTCAGGTGAAAAAGCTTCAGCTGATACTGAAGCTGCTGAGCAATTTGCAGATGAATTCATTGAACTCATTACTAATGAACAGTTATCTCCAGAACAAATTTACAACATTGATGAAACTGGCCTTTTCTGGCAATATGTACCGCAAATACCTTGGCAACCTCCACAGAAAAGGCTCCAACTGGTGACAAAGATTCCAAAGCAAGACTAACAATTTTAGCGTGCGCAAATGCTGCAGGAACACACAAGTGCAAACTTTTCGTAATCGGAAAACATGTAAGACCTTGAGCATTTAAAGGAGTAACAATTTTCCCCATTATATATCGTGCAAGTAAAAGAGCATGGATGACACAAGAGTTGATGAATGATTGGTTTGAAAATCATTTTTATACCCGAGGCTTGGCACATTTGAATTCGGTTGGTTTATCTGATGACTCAAAAATTGTCCTGATTGTTGACAACTGTTCTGCGCATACTTCACTTAAAGGTTTAGTGAAAGATAATGTATCTGTATTATTCTTCCCTCCAAATTCTATGTCTATCATTCAGCCGATGAAAATGGGAATAGTGCATGCTCTCAAATGCAAATATAAAGTAGCATTTTTTAAAATCTATGTTAAATTTCTTGAACAATGGCAAGACTATTTAAAACTTTAAAAAATATTTTAGCATAAAATCTGCTGTGTGGAGCATCGCAAGATCGTGGGAGGATGTGTCTCCAGATAAGTTAAAAAATGCTTGTCATAATTTATGGCCAGCTACTATATTGCATGGTGAGGACGATGAAGATGATAGCTGCGAATTTGAAGGTTTTCGGACATCGCAAATTAAAGGTGAAATTTTCCAGTTATTGGATTTTGTAAGGAAATGTGGAGAAGCGGTAATAAATGAAGATAACATAACAGAAGTTTTTCATTGTGACGACAGTGCCCCAATCATCAATGAATTAATGGATGGCAAAATCTGTAGTATGGTTCTAGATCCAGAAAATACCGCTTCTGATAGTGAAGAAAGTGACAGAGAGGTTATTGAAAATGAAAAAAATTTCGATTTACAAGTTAGTCAGTATTCTCAACACAGCGATTACAGGACTTCATCAGTGGAACTTTGTAACTGAACAAGAAATTATGTCTGTTTATAGAATTAAAGAAAAAGTATTAGCACAAAAAATAATTTATGTGCTTGAGATTGTGATGGTTTAAAACAAAAAACGAAACAACTTACATTGAAAGAAATGTTTAATAAAGTAAACAAATAAATATTAAGCTTTTTTTTTTTGTAAATTTTGATACCCTTTAGATCATAATTGCTCTTTATTTCATAAATTATGGTTTCATATTTTTAACTGTATAATTTCTGCATACATCTTATCAGATTTAAATTGATGATCTATAATCCCGTAAAACCCCTAATCCGGAATCGCCGAAGTCGTGACAAGTCTGGATTACGGACTTTGTACTGTATATACAAGGTGATCATTAAAATACTTCCCCTATATTTGAATTCTTAGCAGCCTAGCCACTCAACCAGTCTAATTGAAATTTCAAATATAATTATTTTATGTGCTTGAGATTGTGATGGTTTAAAACAATAGAACTCTCACGGCTCCAGTTATATAGAAAATATTTTGAAATTTTTTAATGTCAACACCTACTTTTTCCCTACACAAATTGATCAGAAAATAGCTGGTAGTATAAAACATTTCCAATGAAGAGCATTCATTATAAAGGACTAATTACAACACAAGAGACAAGAGGGAGGAAAATCTTTTATTGCTATTACAAGCTTTCGATGTGTACAGTGTTTCAAGATAGATTCATTTCCTGTAACTTTGCACCTTCGAGGCCACTGCGATCCTGTGACCTCACTTTGATGGATTTCTGGTTCTGGGCTTATCTGAAATTTAAGATGTACACTGCCACCCCCTCCCCCCCAAAAAAGGGAGGACATTCTATTGGGCCGATTGACGAAATTCAAAGTGTGTTTTTCATGTCTTGAAAGCGCAATTTCGAATATGTATTAGATTTATATACAGCATTGTTCTAATATTGGTTTTTTGACACAAAATCAGACTTTTTCTGAAATGACATTCCAATTTTGTCCCATATATCAATTATGACTTAAATTGTGTCTAAATATTAAATTCTGTAAAATTTGGTGTGAAATTTATAGAGAAATTAAAAAATTTATTTTGGTGCCCTTTTTTTTCAGGTTGCGCTACTTGGCGAATTTCTTAATTTATAGCAACCTATTTTCCTCTCTCTCTTTTTTTTTTTTTTTTTTTTTTTTTTTTTTCCCCATTGTAAACAAGCAGGAAAAAAGTCATCATTCATTATTTCAAATAATTTTAACAAATAACCACATTTAATGTTGTTATCGCTTATAACAAATATGC